CCTTTTATTTGAAACCTCCAACGAAGGCGTAGGAAGAATAGACTCAATCTACTTGATACCATTTTTTATTTTCTCTGTTTCAATAACGCTTAGCAAACGCCATTAAGCAATAGTAGTTGTGAGTAGTTGTTCGTCTAAGCTTGTGTTTTGAATATTCGTATATTTACTGTGCCCACAAGTGACCGTTGGAGACACAGGCCGTCGCCGCAATTTCACGTCCATCTTCATGGCAGCAGATGCTTCCGGTCCGTCTTCGCATCACAATAACAAAACAACCGAAACAGCTTTACCATCATGGTTTGCCATGGACGAGTCACGTCTTCCTGGGTTGTTAAATAATTACCGACGGGGTATTTATAGTAGGCCATGGTTCGTCCCTCGTTCGCCGACAGTCCAAGAATGGCTTGTTTGTATTTACCCGTTCTGCCACCCTTAAATCCACGTTTCGGAATTTGCTTTTCTTCTGTGATGGTAATCTTCAACAGGAAGTCGGATTTCGGGTGTTTACGCTTTTTTGTTGGGTTAAGGAATAAATCTATTAATGTATGCAATGGATGATGGGCTTTTGCCGGAAGGCATTTGTGCAAACACAAAAATGACATTTCCTGTTGTGTTGCTATTCTTCGGAATTACTATAAAAACAGAAATGGCATCAATTACCCTAAAATTTTTTTTAAAAATTATCAGGATCGTCTGTAACGTCAAAAAGCGACGTTTTTGAGCGATTTTAATTTTTTTAGTTTTTAGCGTTTTTCTCCGCGGCCTCTGGATCGATTTTCAAAAACTATAAAGCTTTTTCATCCCTGGCACGATTGAAGTGACGCCTCCTAGCGGCCATTTTAGAAACTTGAAAAGAATTACTCTTGGCCGTTTCAGTAAGCACTTTTTTTGTCGGAAGCATCTACGATAGATAGGTGCCCACATACAGAACCCCGCATTCTTAGTTGGCGACCCTGTACATGATAGTAGTATTATAAGTAAAACATTTAGTAAATAAATAACAGTTTAAAAAACTAAAAACACGCTTTTATAGCTAACCGAACTAAAAAGTAGAAAATAATTTTTCATTAGAAAGAGTTTACAGTAGTAGATGGTCGAACAATTTGATTTCTAAATTTTTTGGGACAGAGTATATGCAATTACTTTTGGTTTTTCTGGATTTAATGTAAGATTATGAGTTTTTTCATGCTAGTCGATAGATCTCAAATCTTCATTAGGTAATTTGTGCCTCTGGAATTATTATGTTGTCAGTATGAAAATTATTGTATGGGTCAAAATCAGAGAAGTGAGCATTATGTTTCTGACAAAGTTCTTCCTAATAAAATAACATGATATTACTAGAATAATTATTTTAAAATATAGGTATTGTGCATAATTACCAGGCGCTTAGCATATTGATTTTTTAATAACGTTTTACTTGATTTTAAACAAAAACAGGCCTAAGTAGTCATTTCGGGAACGCGTCCTTTATACCATGTTTCACAGTTCAGACAAGTCAAAAACGTTTAAAATTACGAATTAAAAATGTAATATGCTTTGAAAATCATTAATAGTCTATGAATTAAATTCATATCATTTTAATTTCTTCATATTTTGGCTATTCAAATGGTGTGTGACATTTATCAAATCATTCCGTGAGTGCGGTTGGCGCTGGTCGATGTAATTGAAACAATATACAATAGGTGGCGTTAGGGAGCAACAACGTGAAGTTCATTATTCAAAGAAAACAGCGTTTATGGAAAAAATAATTCTGTTGGTAAGTACTGTTCAAATTGATATGTGTGTAATGTACTTTAATTCCCTATCCTTACGGAAACGCTGTTTGATGATTAGTTTTTCGTAAATTTGCATACTTCTTTCAAAATAATGATAAATACTGCAGCTCCTAACCTCCAAAACCAATATCCAAAATGGCGGCGTCAAGCCTGACATGAAATTATTTATCGAATAGTAATTTTGGGAACGGTCATTTCGGGAACGTTCTCGTCTAAGACGGGCGATCCTGAAATGACAGCCTGCGAACAAACTGATACTTTTTGTTTAAAAGGCATACCTATACTAAATTTTGGTATTAGGTATCTATTTAGTACAAGTAACATGGAAAAATAAAAATGAAGAGAAAAAAAATCGAAAAAACGATTAAAACAGGATAGTATAGCTTATAAGGCATCGTGAAATTGCTAATGCAAGGAAACGCAAATTTTTAGATAACATGACACCTGAACAAAAAGAGATGAAGAGACTGAAAGGTAGAGAATAGTACAAAAGAAAGAAAGCTGAAAAGAAAGTTAAGACTGTTAGTGATATGACTGAAAGAGAGAATAGGAAACAGAGAAAGTCGTGGAGAAAAAAATCTCAGTTAAATACAAACAGAAAAAAAGATCATGTTAAATATTTAAACTAACAGCTCCTCAGTTTTTGAAAATCAGATGGAAAACAATATTCGCGTGTTATGGAAGAAATCGTGAAGAAAACAAGTTATAAAGATAAAGCGCAGGTTCTGTAAACCGTTAAACAGGCAGCAGCTGACTATCGAACGCGGAGGTACCACCCGGCGGTTCTCGTAGGCGGAGCCAGAATGTGTGCATGTTGCATGCACACGTGTTCCCTCGCCAGAGTCCGTGTGGCGTCCCCCCCTTTCCCATGTATCCCCCTATAGCCCCACGCTACCCAATGGGTGCTTAGGCCTCAGGCCTTCGTGGTAGTTGGAGTATAAAAAAAAATATCAGTAGAGGAAGCATTCACAACGCCGTATAAGGACCAGACACTTCAGATGATAAGCATCTCCAAACGGTTTCAGATCCACTTCATAAAAAGAATGACGATATTGATGCTGGCATCATACGGAGAAGACAAGGAGAACTTGCATCCAAACTTGATGCACCCAAAGACATTTTTGCTAGTAAATGTACCGACTGAAAATAAAAATTCTAAATACAGATACGTTGCAGTTGCTGACAATTCAGTTGATGAAGATGGTGAAATAAAAGTCACCTTTCTTCGGAGTCAGCGGAACTCGGCAAAATTATTCAAAACTGAACAAGATGATGTTTCATATGTCACCTGTGAACAAGTTGTTATCGTAGCTTTTATTGTTTTGATGAAAATATGTACGTATTCGAAAAGTAATAGAGTTAATAATCCTCGTTCTTTTTATATTTATTTTTACGTCTTTTTGGAATTACGAAGTTCGTTATTTTGTTAGACTTTAAGTTCAAACTTTGATACTCGAGTTACTTTGTGATATGATGCAATTATGCATGTAGTGATAATGCTTCTAATGCATTTATTTTAAAACTACAAAGTTTATTATTATTACATTTTAAGTTTGAATTTTGATATTCCTGTTCCTCATCCCTTAAGTACAAATAAAGTTATAATACTAAAACGTTTATATTATTTTCATGCACAAAATATGTCAAAAGCCAGGTGATACGGTCATTCAGAGATCATCAACGTCATTTAGAGAACTTCATTATCATTTCGGGAACACCCCCATCATTTTCGGGAACGTCACCAAAACGGCAAATAAATCACTAATACGTAATTATAGGTAAATTTTACATTTACCAGATGAAATGACCTTTGGGCTTTTGTATTTATATTACTACTATACCACGTAGTGCAAGAATGTATAAAATAAATTGAAGTTTTGGAGCAGAATTTACACAAATTGAAAATTTATGGATAGTAGTTTGAAAAATAAGTGTTTCGATTATGAAAAAACACAAAATAACAAACATTTTCCGATTTAGGGACCGGTTTATTACAATTTATTGAAGGTGACTCTTAAATGCTTTAGTTATATTATTATTCAGACTTCGTCTAAAGGTGTTCCCGAAATGACTTACGACTCTGGCATAATTCTTATTAACGACTAGAATTTCGAAAATATATATTTTTTTGCATGCCTCTTCACAGAAAAGATTCCTGATAAATGACAGAACTGACTCCTCTTGTAAGTTTTCTTCAAAAGGAAACTTAATTTCTCAGATATTTGAAAAGCTAAAATGCTCACCTCGCTGATTTTGACCCGTATAACTGCGAGTTTTCCGCAAGAAACTGAATATTGCTGTGTTTAACAACCTTATCAGGATCGGAGATACATAAAACAAAAATAAGTGATCCAAGAACCTATCCTTGAAGGCATCCCGATGATATTAAAGCCTCAGGAGAAGTGTTCATATCGACGACAACTTTTTGTGATCTATTTGTTAAAAAGCTATTGATTAGAGCAACTGATGATTCAGATAAACCATAAAATTTACATTTGGCTACTCAAAGACTACTAAAAGAATTAAGGAAGTTGTTTCATGGTTATCCGTAAAGGTTTTTGAAAGCCGTTGTTTCAAATTAATTTAATATCGAACACTTGGCTAGTTTGCAGAGGCGAATTTAAGATGACGCACTGTGCTTCGGGTCCCGGAACTCAAGAGGGCCCCGGAACGCAGTTATGGTGACCTCAGAGTAGACGAAGTGAATGCGAAAATTTTAGAAATACACATAAAATGTTTTTTTGCGATGTTTTAAACACGTAAATCCATGTATGGTCATAGTAGGTAATGCTAATGAATTTTGAAAATCGTTCAAATAGCAAATGGGTTATGAGTAAAAATTAAAATATCTTTCAGATCGTTCAAACTTTATTTTTGTAAGCTTTACAACTTTCTGAACATTTCTAAGGGTACTCAAATATCATTATGGAGAGGCTACAATTGACCACGCGCCACGTGTGCGAAAGAGATAGACAGATCGCATGAACATGGGTGTATCTTCTCGAGCAATAGTATCATGTTCGAGTACCAATCAGAAAATATCTGGAAGCTGAAAGCACATATACAAATATTCCAGCTCGATGAACCATCCCTTCATCCGGTACCATTATCCGCATTCTTATGCATGCCTCGGCACACCCTCATTTCATTCCCATCCCCGAACAGAACCCAGACCCACCAAAGAACCGGGCTTAAAATCCCGCGCTGTCCGCCAGTTGCGGTATTTCATTCTCGACGCGGGTGACAGACGGTTTGAGCTCGCGCTCGCAGTTGAATCGCTTGCATCTAGTAGGCCAGCTGCATTTCGATTGTGGCGCATCGCCGCTTGGTGACAAATGTCACGTGCCAGGTATACGGAGCACGCTTGATTTTGATTGTTCGCGTGCGGTGATCGATATATTGCCGGCGGTTTTGTTGCCCGACTGACGTCCGATTGGAAAGTTGAATATATCGGGCGGAATAGCTATACGTAGACACAGGGTTTTGGCGAAAGTTTGGTGTAATTCAGGTGAGAATATTAACTTTGGTTTAGAATTAACGTCGCATTTTTTTTATCAGCCTGTCTGGAAAGTATTCTTAATACTTTTCGTCTGATTGTTTCATGGTGTGTATAGAGATAACTGAAAAACAATGTTATCAGTTTCTTTTTTTGTTTAAAAAATGCATTTATTGTGCATTTTTTCTTCAATAGCAACTTGTTAACAAATGATGGTCTACTCTAAAATTGTATGAGAATATACCAATTTTATGGAAGAATGAAGCGGGTGATCTCTCTTCAAAAATTCATTGATTTTCTTTACAACTGAATTTGCTGCAAAATGAGGTTTCAAGAAAGTCAGAGTTGTCGAATAGAAAGAGTGATAACGGTAAAAGTAAACACCCGCCTCATTCTTCGATAAAAGTGGAATATCTACATATTTGTTACGATTAAAGGAAAGATGCACAAAAAAGCATTTTTGGACAAAAAATGGCAATGTTGTATTTTAGTCATCTCTATACACACCATGAAATAATCAAATTAAAAAAAACTGACATGTTATTTTAATATGTATTTTTTAAGTATTACACTTTTTAACCAGTGTTGGAGGATTTTGAAAAATATATTCCTTAAAAAAGTGCTGATCGAAGCAGGAAATTTAACCAATAATAAAAACAATCTGTAGCTGTTGTGTTGCTATTGTTCTTGACAGAATTGAAAATACAGTTAGTGCTTATTTTTATTGTATGCTTTATATATAGTCCCATTATTTATAGTTGACTTTTTGAATGAAATTATCTTTGCATTCACAAATAATGTCTTCGACGATTGGCGATTTGACGCATTTCTAACAATAGCCAGGCTTCAACCCGGTTATGACCTGTATTAAAAGGAATTGGTGGGTATGACCGTTCACTTTTTCCTGTAATAATTGTGGAACAATTTTTTACTTGTTCTAGTGTTAATTTTTTGTAAAACATTTACGTGAATAATAATGCACTTTATTATTTTTTATAAAAGTTCGTAGACAAGGGTTTTCAAACCTGTGCTTTGTCAAAAAGTGTTTATTTCTTAATATACATGTATATATATATATATATATATATATATATATATATATATATATATATATATATAAACAACTATAATCGTAAAACAGAAAGCTGATTCGTGCTCTTTCTAATGGCAGGCTAGATAAAATTTACAGTTAAGTGAATATAACTGATTTTTACAATTATTTAAAGTAGATCACCATTATAAGAACCGTAATGGTAGCATTGACCGTATCGAATCTCAACGAAACTTTAGTTCAAGTAAAATTTTGTAATATTATTATTACAGTGCGTATATTACTTCCCACGTCTACTCGCGAAACATTTGGAAATTGAGATATTATGTTTTTTGGATGTTTTATTACATATACATCACGAAAAACAATGTTACTAATGTCTGCCGGTCTGTATCTCCGCAAATTAATGGAATTAAAACCAATTATAATACTATCTTTCAATAAATAAATTGTATACAAAGAATAAAAAAGTAATTAACAAAATCATAATGAATTCTAAACCGTACATTTTCTTTTAAACGAATTGTACCTAAAATAAGAGTGCTTGGAAGATGAAGTAATTAGAAATGGTGTCTAAGTAAACTTACGTGTTACAATTCGGATTTGAAACACATTCGTAGTTAGTATCCGTAAGATTAATTGTAGACTACTTCTGGCGTGATCTTCCTTTTTAACTGCCTATACACAGGATACAGGATACCATCGTTTATAACACATCCTGAGAAGATATTTACTTAAAGGCGTTGCAGTTGTCCAGTTTTTAAAAGTCCGCTACTGGTTCTAAAAGAACAGCTTCCATTGTACCATATCCTCTGAGCCATGGAAGTAAATTGTTACATAAAGTCGGTGTATACAGCGTATCTGAGAATTTCCGGAACCCTTCTAATAATGGTAGGAAAATTCTAACCATGACATTCAAAGTCGAGTGAATTTTTTTAAATGGAACCCCTCATTTTTGACCCCGTAAATGAAAAAGGCGGAAAATTTCACTTTCAAATATGGTCTTGATCTTGACCATTCTTAAATTTTGACCTTAGGATGTCATGGTCAAGGGCAAACCCATTATTTTCATGATTTTCGCTGGACCATGGGTCTCACTTTGATCACGACCTTCAAGGTCATTCGAAGGCCAACTCTTTTTAATGGGACCCTATACTTTTGACCGCGGAAATGAGAAAAGGGAAGATTTTATGTTCGAATATGTCCTTGATCATTTTTCGAACTTGACCTTGGACTCATCAAGATCAAACACAAGTTTCTTCTTGATAATTCCAAAAACTGTGTAATCCCCAGATAAACTGACTTCATTGTTCTTTTAGGATTGTTACCTGGCTACAAAAATTACCTTGACCTTCATATCATTTTGAAAGTCATCACGGTTAAGGTCAGATCCAAGGTCACAATGGTATATCCATGGAAAAATCATGTAGTTTCGCTATTCAGCTACTAGTTTTCAAGTTGTATCACCTTACCTGGGTTTGAGCTTGACCATGACCTAGTGTCAAAATTTAGAAATGGTCAAGACCATATATGAACGTGAAATTTTCCGATTTTTTCATTTACGGTGTCAAAAATAGAGGGTTCCGCTAAAAAAACTGACTTGACCTTCAAATGACCTTGAAGGTCATGGTCGCTATTCAGCTACTAGTTTTCAAGTTTTATCACCTTACCTGGGTTTGACCTTGACCATGACCTAGTGTCAAAATTTAGAAATGGTCTAAACCATATATGAACGTGAAATTTTCCGCTTTTTTCATTTACGGTGTCAAAAATAGAGGGTTCCGCTAAAGAAAACTGACTTGACCTTCAAATGACCTTGAAGAACATGGTCAAGGTCAAATCCAAGGTCAGCATTGTATAGCGTGGGAAAACTATCAATCTTGGACCTTAGTTTTTTCATTATTAGCTCGGAAATTATCGAGGAGTTCCGAAACTTTTCAGACACCCTATATACCTACCCAAATACTGACTTGTATAGTAATCTCGCAACGATAAAAAGATTAGATTGCCTTTTAGTCTACCTACTTCAATACAAATGTTGCCTGGGAGTCACTGACAATCCAAGGGTAATATCGCAGCCGATGGCATGGGGCCCGCAGGGGGTTCTGAAAGTGTGCCTGCCGTCAAAAGCTTTTGAAGATCGGAGGTAGAAAATCCTAAAAATTACCAAAATCATGCTAAATACGCACATTGTAAGGTCCAATTCTCACTGAGCTCAACGCCCCCCCCCCCCTGGTATGTGGCTTAATACCAGCTGAGCAAAGATAAATATTCCGTATCTGTGTTTTTGTTAAAATTGAGGTTGAATCAAATCCGGTGCCTATATCCGTCTATCATTACCCAATAACGCTTTTCGAACAAAACAGGAATTTTGCATTTAAAAGAATGAAACGGAAAAATGATAATGGCAATTGAAAATCGGTGATAATATGTTTCCTTTTCCTGTATACCGCCGGTACCGGCCACAGTACACCAGCTTTTATATAGGCAAGGATACGGATATCCTGTACACTGTTTACACCAACGTCCTTTATATTATGTTGAGCCAAACGCTACCGGTCGGTCTCCTCATCTAGTGTGCTTTGATTTTTATGAGTGGACTTGCGTAAATGGTTCTCCTTTGCAGATTCGCGACCTTTTCTTAAACATTGATCTTTGGAGGTGAGTTATTTGTAAAGTTAGTACGAGGACCTATGACATATTGCTGCCAGGAAAATAATTGTGGGTTATACTACCGGGAAAACAAGTTTCGGAATGATAAAATGTTCACTGATGCAAAAGATACAATTCATATTTCCAACTCTGACCTCCAATTTTCAGCACTTACACATTTTTTCTGAATACGAGTAATCTTATGTATCTAAAAGGTCAAAAAATGGCGCCAAGTAGGTTGACTCTGCATTTTCTACGCAACGCCGTCATTGGTTCATAAAGGATCTAGTCAGTCAAACAGGCCCATAGACATTCTTTCCCTGTCCTACCGGTGCAGCGAGTTATTATTCATTCCGTGTATATACAGTTTGACCCAACGAAAATGGAAAGGAATGGAATGGAAAAGCTAGTGCATATTTTAAAATTATTTCAATATATACAGCGTCTTCCATAACTTTGTGCCATAGCAATCATATACTTCTTTAATTGAACACCCTATATTTTATTGCATGTTTGAATAGAGCTTCTAAAAACAATAAGTTTGATATCATATAACGTGTGGTTTCGATTGTCAATTATTTAGATATTAGTGAAATGTCTGACAAAAATCTTTGACGGCTAGCAGCTCTGCCATTTTCGAAGATATCTAGATCAATTTAATGTTAAGCTGATTAGAAAGTCATGCTAAAATATCTTTCTATTTATACAGGGTATCTCAAAACGCAAAATACAAATACCTTTTCTCATAAATTTCAAATGAAACACTCTGTATATTTCTACATCATATGGTAGATGCTCTATCCAAATATGCAATAAAATGTAGGGGTATTCAATTTGAAAAAATACATGTTTGCTCTGACGCGAAGTTATGGAACACCCTGTACATATTAAAATAATTTTAAAATATGCACTAGTAACATATCAATGCTACCACGAAAACAGATTTTTGATATGTTTTCCAGTTTGTTGATAAAACTACTTTCCATTTTTGTTAGGACACCCTCTATATTTTGTGTCCTGATAGATTAGTCAGCTGGACCGGTAAAACGGGCGATGAGGTTATATAGCAGAAGTATGCTGATTTAAAACTTGTTTCAGTCATTCTAAGTTTTAAAGGCAAATGTACGATGTGTGGAATATTACTAAAAAGGTCATATAATTACCGGGGTTGGGAGCATATAAGTATAATAACATTAAAAATTTTGCATATACCGACCCTCGCCTCCCATAAACCTCTATTCCCAAGTTTCAACGCCTACACAAATTTTTCTGAAAATGATCAGGAGCCTCTGAAACGTCAAAAAAAACA